CGTGGGGAGCTGCGTTGTGCCATCTCGCTCCCCCCTTCTTCCTCCATCTCCATCTCTGTCACTAGCGGAGCACCACACCTGGTGGGTCCGCTACAGCAAAGGTAGGGACAAAAATTCGTTTACGATGTCAGGAGCCGACAGGGCATCGTCCTCCGCAGCCCAGCCCCACTCCCCTCCTCTTCAGATTGAGCAACCCCCCTCTCAACCCCCTGTGCAATCGACGACAATATCTGACGCAGAGAAACAGAGGATAAGGGGTATCCTCAGTGCTTGCTACTTGGATGGGATACTTCCTCGAAGATTGGCCCGGAATGGTCCTCCCAACACGGTGGAAGTGGGGGAGGACTATGTAAGGGTGACGATCAATCCGGAAGTACTCCGAATCCAAGTAGGCTGGCTCAAACAACACGCAGTAACCATCCTGTATGGAAATGAAATGACGTCACTCCCGGTGGAAGTTAAAAAACGACTAGTAAGGATTTACGAAGACGGCTGGGCATCCAACTCGGTAATTAACGATCCACCAAAGAGAGGTTTGTTTCACAATGAGTATAAAAACTTAGTGACGTATGTTTCAGCACATGCACAAGTTGCAACATACATGCTGCGTAAAGGGTGTGATGATGTAACTTTAGGTGGGAAAACGTACACGCTTACCTTCCAACCTTGGATGAATGATTTTCAATTGCATGAGTGGAGGGAGGCGATGCGTTTCAATTATTTTTGGATCAAGTGTTTAAACTTCGCAGGCCCCGATTTCTGCGATGCCGCAAATAGAAAGCGCGGTGGAAGATGCTTTTGGACAAATCCTAAAATCCTACCCGGCTTTCAATGATCCCAACTCCCCGGAATTGTTGAATATTAGATTTGACCTGGTGTCCTCGGCAAGACTGCGCTTCAAACCTTGGCTATGCGTGGACCTGGCCGAGCACGGGTATTTGGAATTGGAGGTCATTGGGGCGGACACACCATGGTGTTCCGCCTGTAGACAGTTCTACCGTTTTGCAGGGGACCCGACATGCCCAAAAAACAAAAATCAAAATTTTAAGGGGCAGGAAGGGCAAAATGGAGCTCGTAAAGGACCGGGAGGGGGAGGGAAGAAGGAAAAAGGGAAAAGCAGGCAGGAAGAGGGTTCTGGTGATGGAGGAAGTTTGAAAAAAGAGGTAGATAAGGAGAAGGAGCCAGGGAAGGAGACAAAAAAAGGAAAATCACCAGAAAGGGAAGACGGAAAAGGGGGAGGAGATCAGGGAGGAAAGAAAACCCGGTCAGAAGAATGGAAACGGCCGGGGACAAGGAGAAAAGTCAAACTAGCAGGAAAGAGAAAGGCAATCTTGGGAAGAAGCGAAGAGTGGTAGGGAGGAAGCAGTTGAAGAAGGTATACCGACTAGTGCAAAGAGATGTGGTTAAAGGAAAGGAGGATACCCTGAAGGACACAGAGATGGAAGTGGCCACATGGGAAGTGGAAGGAGTAGAAAAGGAGAAAGAACGGTTGGTGGAAGTCAGCAGGCAGGGAGGTGGCAAAGACACAATACCAGGGTTTGTTGAAGAAGAAGGAATGATCGTTCCCTCAGATGCATAGGGGAAAGAAAAAGAAACCGTCCCCCCCCCCCCTCCCCCACACCCCGCTGTGCCAACCGGAATGGGAGAGGGAGACGGAGGGCTATTAGGGGAAAGGGAAACAAATAAGGAAAGAACTCCGACTTCCCTCCTAATTCAGGAGACTCAAACGGAGGGGGAAAAACGGGGGCGGGATGAAGGGGAGGCACAAAGAATGAAAGAAGGGGCAGAAGAGCAATCCCCTCCCCCCCCCCCCCCCCCCCCCCCCCCCCCCCCCCCCCCCCCCTGTGGGAGATAACAGCGAGAATTCAACGAGGAAAGGGGAGGTAAGGGAGCACGATCAGAATCAGAATCAGAATCAGAAAGAAGTTTCAGAATCTTCGGACGAGGATATATCGGACGAGGATACTTCGGATTCCTCCGAAGAAGATTGGAAAAGCCCCAAAGTAGGATGGGATGAAGATGATGAGGACGATGAAGGAGAGGGAGGAAAAGGGGAGGAAGATGATTAGGGCGCGAACGATGAAGTCAAAGGTTGGGGAATCGTTTCAGACGAGGAAGAAGAGGAAGAACAGGCGGAAGAGGAATTCCTGGGGTTGGTGGGAAAGGCGTTGTCAGGCGAAGAAAGAGTGGAGGACAAGGGCAGTGAGGGAAAGGGAATCGGAGATATAGAAAATTCTACAAGCTTGATGACACCAGAACCCCCGGAAAAACCGGTACTTAGAAATTTTAAAGTTTACACTAATAATTCCTTTGTGCTCACTGCAGAGAAGCCCAGTCCTGAGTCAAGTACTCAGCGACAAACACAAGCCGAAGCAAAAGGGACTGACCAAAGTCATGGGAAAGAGTTGGGTGTGGTCTCGTACTTGGGAGACGGTGGAGATAAAGGGAAAGTTTTTCTACATACGGATATATTCTCCCAAGCAGATGAAAGGGGTGGACTAGCGTCTCCCTCTAAAAGGAACAAAAGGAACGACACCTCTGGGTGGGTACAACGATGAATCCAACCTAGGGCCCCCAAAACAAGGGAAACCCAGACGAGGAATTGAAGGGCCGAAAACGGACACTGCTGTACAGAACCCTGAGAAGGGAGTTGTCGGTGGCAGGACCAATGAGAACTATCACAAGAGCAATAAAGGATAGTGGTCCCGCCAAGAGGAGGCAAATGACCTTACAAAAAGGCATGTATTTAGTCACATGGGAATAGTGACCCGCATTCCAGCGATTAAAATGAATAGACACCTGTCCACAGCGAGTGAGAAACCAACTGTGATTTTTCACTTTGCTGTGTTGGGATTGAAATCAATAAATGACTCGTTCGAGAAATGGTGTGAATTGCGGGTCCACTGGATTCCACTATTGGA